GGGTTCGCGAACTTACGAGAGGATATTCAAATCGATCATTCCGGTTGAATATTTTCTAGTAATGGAACGTGGAACCCGCGTAACGATGCGATTTGATAGAATACTGTGTATGGGAGTCACGAATCACTACTTATTCTATCGATCTTGTTGGAAATAAAAGAATTATATATATTTTTTTTTTTATTTTTAACGAGAATGATCGTTAAAATTGAATTTTCGCGTGAAATGTTTTAATTTTCAAACACAAACGCGTACTCTTCTTTGCGATGAGAAAGAATTTCATTACAAGAAAGGTGAAGTATAGTAAAACTTCATTTTTATGCATGTAGAACACGCAATAACCCAGTTTGGTTATTTTATTCTAGGATGCCTCGTTTCTTCGATTTCGTGTAAATTCGATATAGAAGATCGTTTTTACACGATCTTTACAAATGAATCTTTATGCAGCTTAATAAATGATACCAAAGTCTCAAAAAAGGGAAAAAATTAAAGACCAATCTTTTTGCGTCGAAATTCCATAGGCGCACCTTGTCCGATTTCGCAGAAGTACTATATTTTGTGCGCGCAAAAAGGAAGAGAAATCGAGCACACACAGCCCTATTCATTGGCTAATTTATTGCTCGTGTAACCGAACGATAAATACCTTTGTACAACTTCAATCGTTTGTAAATGCGAAATTAAGAGATACAAAGAATACTATATGCTCGATTTTGCGAATTATATTCGTTTTAAACAAAATCATTATAATGTATTGGCATTTAAATTATTTTCAATCGTAAAGTTATTAATTAAAAGGGAAATATTTTCACTATCAGAGTCGTTTGTAAATGATGAATTCGTAATATAGATTGAAATAAAAAAAATACGATAGAATAAAACTATTTAATGATCAATGATAATAAAATTTATTAATTACTAATAAAATGAATTTATTAATTATTCAAATGAAATTATAAAATAATTTAAAAAAATTAATAGTATCAATTTTAATAAATAAAATTTTGTTCAAATTTTGAAGTTAAATAATAATATTTATCAATGTATAATATTTACAATATTTTTCTAAATCTGATTTGCAAATAAACTAATTTCTTTCAGTACAATACTGATTTGATTTCGTTTAAATAATAAAAGCAAATTTCTAATTTAAATATTCGTTATTTTTAATTGTTCAATTATAAACTTTATTCTTTACTGTAGAGTGCGTTATAGTCTAGTTACAATTTTTATCGACGTCGATAATTCAGTTTTTAATCGAAATGTAATAATTTAAATAGATGAGATATAAATGAAATAAAAATAAAAAACGATTGATTGTAACTTCAAAAATGATTTCGCGCGTTTTTTGCAAATATCGATATGTTATTATGCATAAAAATAATTGCTATATCAAATATATTATCGACCAAAGATAAGTCGTATATTTTTGACATTGGTCAAAAATTTTAAATATAATTAAAAGTAAAGAATATAATGTCAAATGATTAATAAATTTTAATTTTTCTACATTTTAAGAAATTATAATAATCTATAATAAAAAAAATATTTGACAATCTATCTTATTTTACTTATTTATAATTAATTAATATATATTTAGCCTAGTATATTTCTAATTTTATATTTAAAAAATAGCAAAAGATATATCACACATATATTTTACGATATTCACACATGCAAAAAGCCTACACATAAAGCGTCATAATTTTCAATAATCGGATAATATGCTGTCTACCGATTTCAATGTATCGAATTATAAATTGGAGAGAAAGTTTGTTTGGTAATTCGACAAGCATAACGAATCTGTCCGAACGCGAATTTTTCAGAAAGGTTGTATTATAACAAATGTGTTATAATAAATTTTAATCTCGAGGCCTTGAATGTAAAATGAAAATAAACATAGAAATAATACACGAGTTGAAGATACGGATAAATATAGATAGAAAAGAAATGAGAATCTGTAGAAATAAAACTGTAAAACTATGTTTTATGTTTAAAAAAAATAAATAAATACCTTGTTGACATGAAAGTTAACACGTCGTCTTCTGGACATTGTGACGTATGCATAAACTAGCACACTTACAATACGAACTACCAGTAACTTTAACTTTCAAATAGACGAGCGGTATCACATAACGAAAAAAGACTTTATTTAACTTTATTATAATAACACTTATTGAATGATTACACGAACACTTATTAATCAACGAAACTACGAATATAATACTCGATAAATCGTAATACACTATTCTATCAATAAAAATTCTACACAATTCCGGTGTAATTCGTTCTGTCGTTACGATTTTTAAGAGCAAACTGACGCCATGTCACGGGCATGCGCGCCGATTCTTATAGCAATTTTTTGATTGGTTGAAGTTGCATAGTTCATTATCCACTCAAATTGGCGCGAAAAATTGAAATATATATAATTCCATAAAATTTATTTATAACTTTATTATTTATTTGATAACTTAACTATATTTTTTTAAAAATAATAAAATCTTAATCATGAATATCTCAAATAATAGTATCGAATTTCTATAGTGATATATTTTCATAAAGAAAATAAAATTCACTAATGTATATAATTTCAACTAAAAAATTGATAAAATTGATGATTATTTTATACTTTCCTTAATATTTAATGAACGATTTATTCTTAATATATAAATAGAATGCAAATGATATAATCGTTGATTAAATGATAATACTTTCATGATGCTATTTAAACAATATAGAAAATTATCGATATTATAATTAAATGAATACATTTTTATTAAAATTCATATTATAATATATGAATAAGTGTTTATTTGATGTTGTATATATGTCGTACTGTTAAATAAACGATGAATCTTAGATATTTTATCGTTCATGATAGATTAATAGACAAATCTATCGGTAAAGCAGTACAGGATCGTCTCAAATTACTTCTTCCTGTTCGTGCCTCGTTCGTCGAGTCACGTCACGCAAAAATTTCGAAAAAAGATTCAAGAAAAATGGCACTCACTTTTGGTATGTGTGAAACTCCAGGTTGTAAAACTATAGCCAGCCTTCAATGCCCAACTTGCTTGAAAATTGGAATACAAGGCTCATATTTCTGCACTCAAGTTAGTATCATTCTGTATATTTGTAGGTTAAGTCAAGAAATAAATATATTAGATATTTAAATATATATCGTATGCCATTAATTAATAATAATATAAATTTTATTCCTTGATACATTTTGATTTATTTTTATAGCGATTATATTATAGCATTATTAATAATCGATATTATTGTTAATAAATGTTATATGTATATGTAAAAGATCTAGAATAATAATATGACTTTTACAATAAAAATTTTCGAAAAGTTTTTTTAATCATTTCTTTGATTATATATTTTAAATATTTTTATATTTTGTTATAGGATTGTTTCAAACGAAGCTGGAAAACACACAAAGTTATTCATCAATTAGCGAGTGAGTTAATTGTTAACAATTGTAAAATAAATTTGTAATTATAATTATAAATATAATTTCAATTAAATAAATATTTAAAAGCACATTTATAAAATAATTTATAAAAATTTTTATCTTATTAGAAGGAACAGGAGGAGACAAATCTTCTGGTGAATATAATCCATGGCCTTTTTATCATTATACTGGTAAATTACGCCCTTTTAAGAGAGAACCGCGTCGCGAAGTGCCCGAACATATTAAACGTCCAGATTATGCTACACATCCTACTGGTTTATCTGTGAGTGAGCAATCAGTACGAGGTTCTGCCCAAATAAAAATTCTTGATGATGAAGAAATTGAGGGCATGCGGGTAGCTTGTAAGGTAGAAAATTATTAAAAATTATATAATTTTTTTCACAATATATTTCTTTTTTTTATGATGAAAAAAAAATCAAAATTTCTATTATAGCTTGGAAGAGAAGTCTTGGATGAAGCTGCACGTACCTGTGATGTAGGTGTTACAACAGCTGAGATAGATAAAGCAGTTCATGAAGCTTGCATTGAAAGAGACTGTTATCCATCTCCACTGAATTATTATCAATTTCCAGCTAGTTGTTGCACTTCTGTTAATGAAGTAATCTGCCATGGTATTCCTGATACTAGGCCACTTCAAGATGGAGATATCTGCAATGGTACTATAATATATTATTTTTTTTAAATATAAACTCAATATAAGTACAATAATATATCACAATTCTTATTTTTTTTATAGTTGATGTAACTGTGTATCATAATGGTTTTCACGGTGACTTAAATGAAACGTTTCTAGTCGGTAATGTGAAACCTGAAATAAAAAAATTAGTCGAAGTTACATACGAATGTTTATCAAAAGCTATAGATATTGTACGACCCGGAGAAAAATATAGAGAAATTGGAAATATAATTCAAAAACATGCACAAGCGCATGGATTTAGCGTAGTACGTAGTTATTGCGGTCATGGAATTCATCGTTTATTCCACACTGCGCCAAGCGTACCTCACTATGCCAGTAAATATTCTATTTATAATCGTTACATGAAATCTATACTTTTAACTTAATTTGATTTCATCACTTTTAGAAAACAAGGCTGTGGGTGTAATGAAACCAGGACACTGTTTCACTATTGAACCAATGATATCTCAAGGTACGTGGAGAGATGAAATGTGGCCTGATACTTGGACAGCAGTTACCGCAGATGGTCAATGGTCGGCACAATTTGAACATACGCTTCTTGTTACCGAAACTGGTTGCGATATTCTTACAAAACGGCTTACAAATAATGGCAAACCATGGTTCATGGATCGATCATAGTAGTATTCTTTTATAAATTATCGTCAGTTTATGTCATTTCAAATTTTGTGAATACTTAAACATAATAATGGTTAAAATATCTTCGTTTTCGTTCATGCGAGATTTGTTTTTTCAAGATTAATCTCTACTCTTTGGTAAGTGCAATGATAATATTAACTTTGGTCAGATATTTCTTATAAGATATTTTTTACTGTATGTACTTATGATGTTTTATTGGCAAATTTTATAAGAAGAAAAGAAACGGAAAAAAAAAAGATCCTTGAAAGATAGAATCTCCGTAGATTTTTGTTTATAACCAGAATGACTCCTGTACTATATAAATAGATTACCTCAATGATATATAAATGTACATATATATAAATGTAATTCAGGTTGGTGATGCGCAATGATTGAAATAAAAAATGAGTTCTCTAAATCAATGGCAATATCTTTTATCCATTTTTTTCATAATTAAATACAAATAATTTCGTCTAATAATAAATAATATTTAAATAAATTAAATTCGCGTGTCTTTAATATTTCATCGATGAAAATATAAAAATATTAATTTTAAAATATAATCTTAAAAAAAAGACGTTTCGTCGGAATCTTGTAAAGAACAATGTAAAGTTTTCCATCCAAGAAAAATCTTATTCATTATTAATTCATTTAATTATGATTAAACCCCCGTAAGAATAAAACTAACCGATAAATAAAATTGTAATAAATATTCACGTACAATAATATATACAATATTAAAAAAAAAACTTATATTCCAGTCTTGGGACTCAAACGTGATCCAAATTCAGCATTTGATTGGTCATAAGACGATCTTTCGTCGAATGATTGCGAATTTCCAATATCCGCCTCGTCGTTCTCATACTCGTATTCAATTTCTGTATTTTCTTTTTTTTCATCATTTTGTGGTTCGGTATTGCTATAATCGTTTTCATCTGGCACCATAATTCTCAATGGTCGTTTGTTGTTGTAAATATTTTGTTGATGATTCTGTTGTCTATCATATTTATTCTGGCGTTCTTCATATTGTTGTAACTGTGCATGTTTTTGGTGATTGTATTGTTGTTTTTGTCGATTCTGAACATGATCTTGATAATATTTTTGATTATAATGATTATTATTAATTTGCTCATTTGTTTTGTATTCTTCATTTTTGTGATTAGGCGGCATAGTTTCTTCATTCTGTATATTCTCTTGTTGCTGTTGTTGTTTTCGCAATTGTCCAATCAATTGACTGTTAACATTTCCAGCAGCTGCTAGAGCTGCCAATTTTTCTGCAGCTTCACGATTGGGTAGTGTCGTATAAAATTGCGTAGAAATTCCATCATCATTAGCCACTTTATTAAAATATGTCGTTTGACCCTTTTGATCATTATTTTCCTCGTATTCAATGTTATTTTCTAATTGTTCGTTTCCATCAGTAATATAACTGAGATCTTCGTTTTGTTGCAAACCAGCATTTTCTTCATCATTTATGGAAGTCTCCGGTCCAACGTTGTAATTCGTATTAACTCTTCCAGCGACGTAATCTTGATTGAACAAGACTTGTTGCTGTTGCTGCTGCTCCTTATTATCTTGCTCATCGTAATTGAACGATTGCATCTGGGGCTGTGAGAAACCAGTTACACCAGTAGGTTGAAAGAATTGACCAAGTTGTTGAAGTTGTGGTTGTTGACCTGGAATCAAAATTGTTTAAATTTATCTCGTTATTTAAACAGCAGTTTGGCAAAGTCGATATTCTATATCGATAAAGTTACGTTAACCTCTTCGATATAAGCGTCAATTTTAATCGATAGTTACCAAATGAGTATAAGTATGTACAGCATTATCATAGTTATATTAATAATATAATTTTTTATTTTTTGATTAATTTTTCTAAGTTACTTCTTTTATTTATTAGAAAGAAATTTTATATGTTATAATACGTTTATTATAAAAAAAATGTTTAATATGAAAACGTTACACTTGCTCGGTCGTTAAATAATTCACACTATGCAACAAGTGTCATAAAAGAGGTTATTAACACGTATACAACTTATTAGAAAACGTTTCTATCTCGAATCCTGAAAAACGTGGTATATTTTCTCTATATTTTAATTTAGTTTATAACGATAGTACATTTTGAATGTGAAACATACCTGTTTGATATTGTTCTGGCATCTTTTGAGGAAAGCTGTTTAAAAGATCGTAAAGTTGAGTTGCTGAAAGCGGAGGGCCTGCAGGAGCCGGATGACCAACATGTAGATCAGGTATTTGTTGATTTATAATATACGGAGTCTGACCAGCTGTACCAGGGAAACCAACGTGCAATGAACTATGAAGATTAGTTTGCATCGGTAGGTTGGGCTGTCCGAGTTGAATGTTTGTTCCGATGAGGCCTATATTCGACGCTGGATGATTATTTAAATAAACATCATTTGTTTGTAAGTCAGGATTCACCAATGTTGAAAGAGTTGCAAAATCTGGAGGCAAGAATGTCGGTAAAACGGTCTGATATTCTTTTTGACTAATATCATTGCTTTCAGTTACTTCGTAATTATGCGCTGGAGTGGGACTCGTTACAGTTTTCTGCGGTGTTAAACTCGTGCTAATAGTAGCAAGATCAAAATTTGGTAATAAGGAGCCTATAAAACAATATAAAACAAATACATATAAAAACAAAGTAGAAAAAAAATATTTTTAATTATTAAAAAATTAAATCTCTAAAAATAATCATTAATCTGTTACTTTAGAATCTAACCATGTGGATTGATTTTGTAAGCAGCATCAGTTGTTTGTTGACGTGAATTTTCTTCTATATTCGCTTCATTATTGAAAGGCTTATCCATGGGACTCAGATTAGGCGCAGGAATCGTATGAATTGGTCCCTTGTCATCATCGACACCACCTCTATGAGTTGGTGGCAAAACAGCAGCTTCCGGTCTGTATTCAGGACTATATTCCGGCATTTTATTTACGGTATGGAATTCTTTAACTGGTGGACGTTGTGGTAAAACCGCATGATTATTTAAAGAAGTTCTTATTGGAATCTGGTTTTTCCAAATGGTAGATGGCACATTGAACATCGGAGGTCGACGAATTCTGGAATAAGGGATAGATCGAGAAAATGTCACGTTCGATGAAAAATGATTTTTTTCTATATATTCTCAAAGATTCACCTATAATTCGACGGTTTGTGAGTTATTCGTTTCAATGGGAAATTTCCATTGATATGCATTGTATTTCCCATCGAAATTCTATGAGTAATTGGCCATGATTTCTTGAACATCAGTTTAGGAGGCTGTGGGGGAGGCAATGGGGGTCTTCTAATCTTGTATCTAGCTTCAACAAGGCAGATACACGCGATCAATAGCCAACACATCCAATTTGTCGTCTGAAATTTTGTTAATAGATTGATTTGTCTGTTTCAAGCGAAGTTTGAAGAAAAATTGATAGATCAATTACCAATTGAAGGTCAGTAAATCTTTTTTTATTAACATTTATTATTTTTATTCTATCTTTGTTAAATTTTTATTAACAATTTTATTAAATTCAGCATTTAACTTAATTTCTATATATGTAAAAAATGGATGCTATTAAATTTGAAAAATTATTTGCCACAAGTTGAAAATATGTATAAAATAAATTTATTATAATGAGATATGCCAAAATCCAAACTTGTCTTCGCGGTATTCGCAACAGGTGAACTTAGTTCTTTGCAATCATTCTTTGCAATTATGATATATATAAAATAAATAAGTGCAATATAATATAAATCAGTGCTTAAATCTTTTTGAATAAAATTCGATAAAATTCTTTTTTATTCAGTCACATTATTTTAATATTTGAATAAACTCTACAATAAATTATTGAAATTAATAAAAAAAAATAATAAAAAAACATTTAATTACAGTTTTACAGCATAAATTTCATTGTTTACTAAAACATTACAAAAACGAATTGTTTTTGTATTCAACGCGATTCGTAATCTGTTATGTTGAACTATCGTAACAATGACCGTGACAATGGACGTTCATTGTGGCATTAAGCAATTATAGTTTGAGAAACGCTGGCAATGAAACCGAAGAGAGAAGTGTTGTGAGTTGTTAGCGGGTAAAGTGGGACGGTGTGCCACATCGATGGTAGGAAAAGCGAGGGTAGTAAGAAGCCAGGTGAAGAGCGAGGTCGAAAAGAAAATAGTCGAAGCTGGAAATAATGATCCGGCACCGATGGATTGAGAGATGATCACCGTGGATGCAACAAGTTGTATCGTAACGATTATGATTCGTTTTCGCTCGAATTGCATTTCCGGTGAGTGATTTCTTTTCTCGAGTACACGTTAATGGAAGACATATTCTTTAAATTTTTTTTTTAATACTTTATTACTTTATTACCGTTGATTTATTATGATGCATAATAAATGGAAACGCGTGAAGTAATTTAATATGAGAGAAAATTTAAATGATTGATAAGATAAATGTAAATTAAATTTATTATTCAGTTATAATATATTTGATTTTTTTTCTATTTTATTTCATTGAAATTTATATAAATTATTAATAAAATTATTGAAATTTATATAAGTTATTGAATTGTTTTATTTTTCAGATTCTTTCTCATAAAAAGAAGCATATAATCAAGCATATGGATTTAATTTATATTGTATAAAATTATTATTAATGAAAATGTCGATTCATTTTCTAGTATGCGAATAAACGTCTTTTTTTTATTCTTTTTTTTTTATCTAATGATGATGTTTTCTCAAGAATGAATAGAGAAATAGCTATTTCCCGTTAATGATAATAATCAGACATTGACCGACTATTCTTTTTTTGTACTATAACGGAACTAGTTTCTATATTGGATAGATGAACATATTAACTTGATTTTTCAATCATACTAACTATATCTTTGTATATTCATTCGTCATAATACAATGTGAAGAATACCGTAACATAACTTCGTAAAATTAGTTAAATTGTATGCTAACAATTCTAGTTAATTTAACAATTTTATAAAATGGCAATCATAAAGTAAGTTATCTATTCAAAAAGAAGTTTCAAAAGTTTTCTTGAAAACTTAAATAATAAAGAATAATTTAAGAAGATTAAGATGATTTAATAATCGTGATCAATAGAAAAGTATAATTTATATTTTATAATTAAATTAAATTATAATTAAATAGTAGTAAAAATTTTATTTTTAAAGATATCAAACGATAACAATTAAATGAAGTGCAACAACAATATATTACATTGCTTTTAATCAAAGAAAATCATACAATTTTCAATAAATTTATCAAATTCATAAAATTACAATATAATAAATTATTAATTTGAAAACGAAAGTTTATTAATCAATAATATACAGCAAATTCTATTTTAGACCTTGAATAAGCTTACCTTCATCGTTTTGCCTTTCAATGAAGTTTCGAGATGAACAAATTACAGTTTTCAGATTTATCACCTGATAATTTGTTTGTTTTCACTGAGAAGAAAAAATGGAAAACGATAAAAAAAAATATACCGGATAATATACCGGAAGTTATGATCACAAATAATCGAACATGAGTTGACACGTACGATGATTGGACGTTGAGGAAGCACTGCGTGTTCTGCACACAATTAGGTCATTGTCCTTCATTTATACTCGCAACCGGCGAACGTATCATCGAAGGCCGAAACGTTGTTCCTCCTACTCTGATGGATAACAGCTGCTTCAAAACGCGGAAATGTAACTGGGAAAAGTCATAGGTTCCACGAAATAAGAATTCCAAATTCTACGATTCTTCAACGCAAGTACAAAGTATCAAGTAAATGAAATTAATTGGATCACATGAATAGATCACATCTTTTCATCTTTTATCTTCTATCTTCATTTTCTAAATATTTTCCAACTGATAAAATTGTAAAATAGATACAAAAATAGATTATCATTGATGTTAACATTTTGATTTGTAAAAAATTCTTTAATTCTTTAAAATTTCTTCGAGTTTTTAAATTTTTTATAAAAGTTTTTTTATGTTATTTTATTTAGTTTACTTTCTTTTCTCGTACACATACTTCTTCCGACTTAAAGAAGTAAAGTCATGTATAGTGAATGTCTTCCAGAAACGGTACTTTGACAAAGACGCCTTTAGAGAAAAGAAAAGATAACACACAGGTCTATTTCGAGATACAATCTTACATCAGTTTCAAACCGAAGTCAATGTACAATTAAAATAGTAAATTTATAATTAATCCATAAAAACGTGTTAACAATTTATCGTTAACGACGTCCGATTGTTTCGACGATGGATGGCACTTTTGTAAATCTGTTACAATCAGCCGAAAAGGAATTCGATGACAGGAAAGTCGATTTGCGATTGTATCAAAGGCCCTTTGCGAGTCGACAGATGGACAGAACGATCGAAGACCGGTCAAACGCCGTTTCTCTCCATATCCTGCTACTGGATTCCCTCGTGAGGACATACTTGTGTGCGTGGATACGCACGGACCAACATGTGTGATCCAGTGACCCACTATATTCATCGGTGGCTACGTGAGTTTATGACTAAAATTATGCGACCATGCTATTCAGTCTTTCACAAACGAAAGGAGAACTTTTGCATTTTGGTATTTTATCATTTATATTATATTATTTTATATTCTTTCCGTTCACAAGATCTGTAGATATATAAAAAAGCATAAATTCTTTGATATCCACGAATTTTTTAAAAACTTTTATTAGTACTTTTATTTTACATCATTTCTTTCAAAATTGTTAAAATTATTAATACTTAAATGTAAATAATAATTTAGATTTTAAAAAATATTTTATACAATAATTTTATACATCTAAATATTTTATCAGATATATATATATATATATAAGTAAAGGATAAAATATTAAGTATTTAATATAAGTAAAGGATATAATATTAAGATATTTGGAAAGAATTGATGCTACTTAAGATTGAAGGTTCATTGCACTCAATGTGAAGGTTGATGAAAGGAGATCGAGGCTGGATGTTGCTTCAGACATTTTATTTTCGTGAATGTTCATTATTCTTTATATTCGTTTATATTAATACAGATTAACAGATAGATTCTTTTCAATTTCTTCTCACTTCTTTCTTCTACACTGATATATACCAATTAATTATTTACATATTTTTCTTTTTTATAGAAAATTTCAATCTATGGATAAAATTGATGATATAAAGAAAGATTAAAATAAAACAAAATCAACTTAAAACAAAAAACAATATCATTTATATTGATATTCCATTTATACAAGAGTATATACATTACGACGATTAATTAGAACTATATCGCGTTACATATATTACGATATCTATAATTATAAATTCTGAAGAGCGTTAAAAAAGAGGAAGGAAGGTTAAACTAGTTACTCTCATTGTTATGGCCTCCTTCATTGCATAAAAGTTTCTCGAGCTTTATTTGCATTTGTACGCATAATGAATCGTTATATACTTTCATACACCACATTCATCTTCTTCTTAAGAATTAACAATCAATAAGCATCATATAAAAAGCTCTAAAAACAAAGATTGACACAAATTGTACCTTAATGTTGTAATCACACACACAAAAAAAAAAAAAGAAGAACAACTTATTAGCAATTCAACATATATCACAAGATAAAATCAACTACAATAAGTATCCTCTACATTGACTCATGCTTGTAACTCAAAATTCAACAACATTCATCGTTTTCTAATTTACACGTTGGACCGCTTTCTTTTTCCAGAATAATCGTCCAAGAAGATTCGTCCATGAATGATTTCCATCCGTCGAATCCATCCATGAAATTTCTTGTCTAGTCTTGTTTTGTAACGAGCCGAAACCCGAAACACGGACATACATACATATATACGTAGGTAGATAAATTATGCCTAATTCTCAATTGAGTAATATAACACACCCACTTAATTTTTTTCCACTCACTTTAGTTTCAAATTTTAAAGTTAATTCTTTCTATATTTAGTACGATAATATCGATGTTTTTTAAATCCATTGTGCGGGTAATAATGCGCATAGGAGTAGACCACTGGAACATAAAATATTGAATTTAATGTAATATAATTTTTGTGAATTATCATAAAAGAAAGACATTATGTTCATTTAGCTATAAAAAGCAAAGAAAAGCACAACTAAACACATATTGTGGCCAAAGACACGCAAGATGCCAAATATCATGCAAATGTTTTAGAACCAAGTGATACAACTATTTATTAAAAGATAAAGTTAAATATGGGGACGATTCAAACATCAAACACATAAAAATACAGATTTATAATTCCATTATTATCGATCGTAACATAATTTAAATATAAAAAAAATTATTATATCTTTCATATTATTTTTAATTTAACACAATTAATCAGGTGCAAAGTGTTCACGGTAAATAAAATTTCACATCTAACATACATTATTCTAATTACCTGTCTTTCGATTTACCCTCTAGGTAGTCTTATACGGTGAACAAATTCGTTTATGGATCTTCTTCTCTGTCCACTATTTTTTCTCTGATACAATCCATGCATGTTGAAATTAGCAAAAGGTTGAATCAATCCCTGATTTTGCCAATATGGAGTCAGTAGTGGTATCTTTAAAGGCCCCTGTAGCATGGAGTAAGAATATGGAAGCAATGGACTCTTGGAGATGTTTGCAAGAGATTGCAACTTGGGCAATTCCGCGGATATTTTAATCGATTCTATTTTAGGATTCGTATCTATCGATAGGCTCGAGTACACGGACAAATCGTTGCTGGACGACGTGTCACTCTTTGGAAAATGCAAGTTCCTTGTCAGGAATAGAGTATTGAACGTGTATAGGTGGATACTCGATGCTCTGTTGAATCGTGAACGGTGCATGAAGATTCGATGGAGGACTGGGAGCAAGTGGAGGATAAATTGGATAGTCGTATCCATTTTGATCATTCGACGAATGTTGAATCATAACGTCGTAGCTGGATGGCAATGGAGAGTTGGAGTTCACTTTGTGATCGTCTTGATTAATGTGATAATTCGGTATCACGGTGTTCTCGTTATCTTTGTGAGATAATTCAGGTGGTGGTCCGTAATAATCGTTTTCCGGATACGTCACAGCAGGTTTTCGAATTTCCAAATTCACAGTGTGGTGATCATGGTTGTCAGGTTTCGTCGGTTTCGCAATAAGTAGGCCCGCCTGGTCTCCGACTATAAACGTGACGTCTGTCAGTCGAGTCTAAAGTTAATCCTTCGTTTCATGATATTAAAATGATCTTCGAATGTTAAATAATGTTCAATATATTCTGATAAAGATTGTTAAAGATTGTTAATTTTAATTGTTAATAAGTATTTTATTTTTTTATTAGATTAGAAATAAGTAAGATAGTAATAGTAATAGAAATAATAGTTTGTTTTCTTTTACATGAATATCCATTTCCTGTTTTAATCCAAGTTTTAGCTCATGAAACGAAAGGTAATTCGTTTAATATTTTATTGCCATGCCGTTTCGTATTTACAATGTATGAGTTATTAGTATGAATGTCTTTGTATAAGTTTTCTTATTCATTAACTTTTATTGCTTTTCATCCTAATAATTATGTACATTTTATTTGATACAAGTATATATATAAATTTACTTTATGAAAAGATCTTTGAATGGATCAATTTTGTTCAGAGAAAGCGTTATATAATGACGCGTTTGATTTATCAGAAAGATTGAACAAGAGCAAAAGTGAATCGATTTGAAGATTTTGAAAATCGGAAGGAGGAAAGAGAAGAAAGGAATAAGATCGTTCTCGCGGAAGAGAATAATTGTAGAGGGAAAAAACTTATCATTGGAATGTGAAATTTACCAAAGAAGCGATCATGATAAGCAAGGGAAAGTTCACAGAGACGGTAAGAAATTCGAAATATATTTATATTACACCGAATAAATATAATGACCGGTGCAGAATTCAAGCCGCTATTCTTCTGTAGCCTCTTCTCCAGTTTACTTTATGTCTTCATACACGAAGGAAAGTTCCAAAGATTAGAATCTTGTTTGAAAGTGAAGATCACTTTTACTTTATTTTAAAACGTGTAACGCCTCTTCCGAGACGTCTACGCCTCTCACCGAATTTTTTCACACACGAGAGCACACTATATACATACATCCATCGAGCATATCATACATTCGAAGCAGAGATATAAGCGTATTTATTCCACGTGCATTTCCCATAAAAATTTTTAATCATTATTGCGAGATCTCGTTTTGTGAATCGAAAATTAACAAAAGCAAAAAAAAAAAAATATTAGTATTGCTGCATCGATACTAAAAAAAAAGATGTTTTAGCGATTTTAAATTAAGTCTTACTATCCGAGGATTCATAATTCGCATTTTCATGATATCCGTGGGGCCCGCTATATTCCTCGTGATCGGGTGGAGGAGGTCCTTCGTAAATATCCTCGTGACCTGTTTCATTTCATTAAGATTTTTTTTAATTTTTTAAGTAATTATGAAAAATTGCATTTACTACATTTTAATTAACTATATATATATATATATTTTTTGTTATAGGTATTATGAAATTATGAAATTAAGTTGACGAAAAATATATATAGACAAAGTTTAAGTTAAAAGAGGACTTACTAATTGGTGGAGGAGGACGATCGTACAGATACATGGGATGGGATGGTTGCACGGCACTCTTAGCGATATTTCGACCCAATGTAGTGATCACATCCCCAGTTTTACTAATTATTTTTCCCTTTGAAGAGACAAGGTAACCACCTCCTTTCAATAGCTGACCTTTCAAAGCAATCACACCGCCACTTATAGCTTTTATGGCTTGCATTAATGTGCTAACGATCGCCTTTTTGAAGTCCCAAACGTCGAACACCTTTTCGCCATACTATCATAGAAAAATTTCATTAACGAGATACGTGCGCTCAAATTAATCGAGATGCGATTTATGCTTTATTTTATTCAACATTATATTGCACGATACAAATTGTTATAAGAAAGTCTCTATACTAATATAGTAACTACTTGTAAACTAATGTAAACTATTTTTTTTTATAAGTTTTTTTTATAACAGCAGGCATTAAATTTTTTTGATTAATGTCGTAGAAACGCTTTTTGAAATTTTTAAGTTTCACAATTCGATATTTTTTAGATCGTTGCTTTTATGGTGCAAATAAGATTATTCGAATTATTACAGATTAGAACGATGTCGGTGATGACACATCATGGTTGACCTGTTTCGTTCGATGTCGATTACTCGAACGTAATTCATAATTTCACGATGAAAATTATAAATTTCTACGACTTCGTGGACTGATTAATCGTAAAATTGCTTGTAACCAAAAAAAAAAAAAATCTGTATTATTGAGCTATTTTATCTAGATCACAAGACAATACAAATTTTTGAAGAGTGTGCAATTTTCAGGGACGAAAGATAGAAGAATAATTTAGAAGGACGTATCATCCGACGTTTATTTCCATCGTGAAATTTTTTCCTGAAATTATACGATCAAATAAGAAGCATGCGAAGACGAGAATCAGCTCCTAGATTTCCCTCCTTAATTGCAACCTGAACGGCCCACATAAAGATTTTCTTTCGTGCAGCTAATGTAACTATATATATATATATAATCATATAATCATATATATATAATCATTTATACTATTCTTCTACTATCGGTTGTTCTTCTTGTCACGTTGCAATGAACAAGTATAGTTTGATTAGTATAGCTTACGGGTTCGTTAAAAGATTTTGATAAATTTCACGCCTCTTAATCGTAAAGATTTCGATAAACATAAATAAAATATTTCTTATATCTTTGTTTTCCCTTAATATCAAACATAAATAAACTTTCTATGCAGATGAAATCACTTTCACTCGTGGCGGATTACGTAAAATTCATTATAAATAAAGCGATCTTTCATATTGTAAAATACCAAAGTATTCATAATATCGATTCTTATCTTTTTATAAATATATGAACTTTCATCTATAATATAAATTTCTGTACATAATTCGTTTTATGTTTTTTTATATGGGAATCCAAAAATTTTCTCTTTCGTTTCTTGCCAAAAAAAAAAAGAAAAAAATATAAAAAATTCTTCGGTATTTTTAATAAAATGTTAAATCGATGGTGAATCATCTCAACTAAACCCGTTGCTGTACGTTGAAATCTCCAATATCCGAATTAAGGAAATATATATAATCGAACGAATAAGAGAAATTTTTTAATGGAAAGAAAGCATCTCGCTTTGATAATTATTCCAAATTTTTTTCTTTGATGCCGATATTATATCGATATTGATTAAACT